CTAGCTAATGTCCGACCAGTTTTAAAAACAATAACTTTTGTCTTATTCTTCTTTACAGATAACACTGCAACTGATTAATTTTCTTTGTATTCCAGGTATTGTGCTTACTATATCATCGGCAAAGAAAAGAAGAAAAAAACTACATAATTTCCGGGTGAAGCTGGATGCCATCAGAACAGTTTTGCTGAATTTGTTGAGCTAATTCATTGATAAAGAAGGAGAACAAAAATGGACTTAAAATGCACCCTTGCCTAACACCGATATTGCTTTCAAAGGTGTCAGACACAATGTCGTTATTTCGCACACAAACCTTTACATTCTGATACATACAGCACATTAACTTTCCAATTATAATGCTAAGACCATGAGTTTTGAGACGTGACTGACTATAATTTATTTCTGCTTACAGATTCAAAGTCTTTAAATTGCTAAGTACTGTCATACCACTGACGATCCGGGGTAGAATAGGTCTACAGCAACCCATGCTTGCCGTAAAAGGTGATTGTGCTTGTCGTAAGAGGCGACTAACGGGATCGATGGTCAGGCTTGCTGACTTGGTTGATATATGTCATCGTATCCCAATTGTGTAGATCGATGCTCATGACGTCAATCACTGGATTGTCTGGTACTGACTCGATTATTTACAGACCGTCGTCAGCTGGAATAAAGCTGAGTGCGGCGTTAAACAACAAACAAACAAAGTAAATAAGATACGTCATCTGATGACAAATAATATCTAAAGTTATCAGCTCTACCGTGGACCCATGCAAATCTGAAAGGTTCATTGAAACTTTGATCACTTCCATCTGTTCAGTTGTGTGAAACGTACGTAAATCCATTGTGAGTGGAAGGTGTGGTGTCAGCACTACAACATATCAATAACTCACATGAACATATCCATACAATCATCCACGCTAGCGCCTTGATTTAAAAAAAAGGTGAAATCCCCAACACCCGCATCTGATCCACACCTTCCATTCATAATATGGATGTTAAGAACACCGCACATATCTTAAGAGATGTACCAAATCTGTTTATAGTTGAATCTACCGAAAATCGTTGTATGCTAAAACTATTAAAAAATCCGACCTGTTGTTATCATTACCTTCAAAGTATCCAATGATATAATCTTCAACAAAATCAGGTAGTGTGCCCGTTCTCAAGTTATAATCACCTCCGATGATAATATGCACATCATCACGTTTAGATCATTTTGTAACAGTAATATACCGTTTTCACATTGACGTAACGGGTTATTATACCAGGTTGAAGACCCCGGGTGAATATATACACATGCATATAATAGGTCTTTATTTAAGAAACATATATCCATATCTGGTTTAATGTATATACCACTATCACACACTTTGGTCCACTTTACAAGATGAGAAAGCAGAAATGAGATTGCAGAAAGCAATTGAACTCCCGCCGCCGTTCACAGAACTGTAAAATAACCAGATTCGCGTAAATAAAATATGCACCTGTCTTATTCTCCTTTATATCGTCTTCCTAATGAACGGTGCGATTTTTTAGTGCGGCGCATGTCAAGGCAAACGGTATTTTATACATATTTCAGTCGACCTACCATGCCCCACTTAAGATATTTATTTCAGTAGCTATTATTGTTTCAAAGTATTTCTAACATCAAACAGCTCATTGCGCTAAAATGACTCTACCAATTACAATTTTGATAAAATAGTCTAAATATAAATTAAATGTGCTAGTAGAGCCTCCCTTGTGTAGAGCCTCAATAAACTCGGCAGGTCAGGACGCGAGGACGACAGTCTACCCACCCAAGAACGGGTGCGCGGGCCTTGTCGAGGAACAGAAGCACTAACTGACTCAATCTGTCAAGGGTTTACGATGTCCCAGTTTTCAATATCCAGGTGCAGGGGCGCTGTACCGACACGTGGGCCCGGTGACATACATATACTTGTATATCCTCAACTCTGGTAGATATTAAATAAAACTGTGTTATCTATGTGGACCGTACCTGTGGACTGTTTAACACCACCTGTACGTAAAGATCCCTTGCATAAGGCGCTTCGTCACGCTGATAATAATGACTATCAGATTAAAGTAAATAAATGCAGTCAAGAGGGTTTGGGTGATCCTGGCACAGTCTGGTTTGGCTCATCATCAGCTCCGGGCCCTTAGCCCATCTATAGTATAGCGGCTTAATTATTGACTAAATTGTGCACTTTGTGTTAAAAGTATGACAACTAATACACAGGTTCGTCATCAATGTATATAGGGCCATCAAATATTTTCCGGGGGCACGGGTGGCCCAGTCGTATTAGGCGCCACGATTCCCTGTGCAGAGTTGCGTCCCTTGGGCACGCCAGAAACCTATGATTGTGGGTTCGAATCCCGGTTCACCCCGATTATATTTCTAGGTTTGTCAGCACCATACCCGTGCTCGTGGGTTTCACCGAAGTGGTAAACGTCTGAGACCTGCATCACTTCTGACTTTCCTCCAACATGAAGCTGACACGCCGTTTTATAACTGGAACACTGTTAAAAACGGCGTTAAACCCAACTCACTCATACACTCCAATATTTTCCAATATGGCCGTCAAAATTATCCTTTTTTTTGGACATGTGTAAACATTAGGCGTTTGGTTTTTCATATGCTTTCTCATATACTGCACTGCCTAGTCAACTTTTCGGAGAATGCGAATATGGTTGTAATAATGGCAGCAAGCCCAGGTATTCTCTCAATGTCAGTCAACAGTTTGAGAGGTATCAAACCTAAGGCACCGGGTGAGTATGGTTTTACGCCGCTTTTAGCAATATTCCATCAATATCACGGCGGGGGACACAAGAAATTGGCTTCACATAATGTACCTATGTCAGGAATCGAACCCGGGTCTTCGGCGTGACGAGCGAACGTTTTAACCACATGATATGGCTACCCGACCGCCCCGAAAAAATGGGGAGTCGGACAACTTGGTACGTGGGATGCACGCGTGACATTTCGAAAGGAGGTTCCCATATTTGCCATGTTTTTCCTGAGCCTTGTCAATCACATTAGTGTCAAAAGGGACCTACGTTTTCGTGATATAAATTATTTCCTTTGAATCGTCAAAAAGGACAAGATCGGGTTTGTTGGCCTGGGTAGGTCTAAGCCTGTATTGCGGGCTTATTCCAAAGAATTTTGATTTTATCATTTTCGCCGTCGACATATTCTGGGTCGTACCATGGATGGACCTCTGTGTCAAAACCACAAGCATGGCGAAGGCGGTAGTAAAATGTTTGAGCCTCTCCATCACGTCGCTTAGATACTGTGTTTGTGCCAAAGCTGGGCATCCACTGACAAGGCGTTGGACAGTCTCATTAAATTCATTGCAGAATCTACATTTCATATTTACATTCTGATGCAAAATTAAACGGTTTCGATTTGGATGTGACTGGTCCTGAGCAGCAAACAGAAAGCATTCTGTTTCACTTTTCAGGCCTATTTTTATTATTACTAATATTTCGTCTACGATCCCAAAGCTGACAAAATATCTTCCAAATTACAATTTACCCAGTCTTACCTGTTTAGTTTCGTGTACTTTCTGCTCATTAACCTTTTACGCTGCCTGGCGCTCAGCATCAATGGCATAAAAGAAGGACTGACTGGCTCGGACGCAGTATGATGTGTCGGACCCCTAGTGAGTTTGCGGCACGGTATTTAATTGCTATAACCCAGGCGTAAGTAAGGTAAGTTTGTGTTTTTGTTGTTTAATTTCAGCTACATGGCGGCAGTCTGCAAATAATCGAGTCTGGACCAGACAATTCAGTGACTGACATCATGAGCATCGTTTGCATTTGAAGGTCTTCATGATCTTGGATCATCCTCGAGGGTCTCTCTTCAAAACCCATTAACTCACAATCCACCTCTTAGCAATAGCACAGGAAGGAGCATCACCTCCTAAAGTTGTCAATATGGCTGTTGGAGTTAACGCTTTCAGTTGGAGATCCTAGGTGACAGCGCAGTTACCAATTATGTCTATTTTCATCAACAGAGTTACGTCGCGTTTAACAGTATTCCAGTTATATCACGGCGTGTCAGCTTAATGTGGGAGGAAAGCCCGAAGTGATGCAGGTCTGAGACGGTTACCACTTCGGTGAAACCCACGAGCACGGGTATGGTGCTGACAAACCTGGACACAGTCGGGGCGAACTGGGATTCGAACCAATAATCATAGGTTTCTGGCGTGCCCAAGAGACGCAACTCTTCACAGCGAATCGCGGCGCCTTAGACGACTGGGTCACCCGTGCTCCCCTCATCAACAGAAAAAAACCTAGTCACTTTGTAGACATATGCTGCCTGGCTGAGTACTTTTTTCAGATGCAGCCTGTTAACGGGGCAGATATTGTACTTACTACATGCAGTGTTGAGGGTGTACTTTTCAGCCACCTCCGCTTTGTTTGTTTGTTGCTTAGCGCCCCCCTCAGCAATATTCCAGCTATATGACGGCATTTTGCAAATAATCGAGTCTGGACCAGACAATCCTGTAATTGATATCATGATCATCGATCTACGCAATTGGGATACGATGACATGCATCAACCAAGTCAGCGAGCCTGACCATCGCCTCTTACGACTAGCATTATCACCTCAAAAGACAAACATGGGTTGCTGAAGACCTATTCTAACCCCGATCTTCACGGGTACCCCCCGTAGAAGCAGCCACGCACGCATGTGCAGGCTCGTCGCTACCTAACTGAAATCATATTGAACGCGACAATTCATTTCACCTCACCTGTTTATTGAGATATCTCACCTGTTCACTGACATTTTCACCTCACCTGTTTATTGACATATCTCACCTGTTCATTGACATTTTACCTCACCTGTTCATTGACAACATTCAGTTTCTTATGTTTCAGATTGTTCTGAAACCTAGGCTGTTCATGTCTGCACCTCTTTGAACTGTTTGTGTGTGTACCCTCTCACTTGTCCAAGGTCTAACGTCTCGATTTTTTACGAGTTAACGTTTGTATGCTGTCGGTTGCGTTTATCTGATAGCAGCCACTACTTCAAAAGTACAAGGCAGAGTTACCTCCCCTGTTATCGAGGACCATCGCTTGCGAGACTGTCGTGTGTGTTGTCGCAAACTTGTCAGGTACGTCAACGTAGATGTTCATGAAGTTACTTATAGTTTTGCAGCGGATCGCATGTAACTATGGCAATCAGCACGGCACTACTCTCGCTTCCTTGAGGTTTATTGACTGCCCTTCATTGACAGAACATCCCGTCGAAGTTGTGGGTAGAGAGGGGTGGTTTACATGAACGGAATTAGAAATATACAGTGTATTATAACCGTTTACTTATTGTTTCACGGGGGATGGGAAATGTTTGTTATATTAAAGAGAGGATAGGACATTAATTTTCAGCGAACAATCTTTTTGTGTCCCATTTATTTCTGGAACTATAATGTTATTTCGAAAAAAGTTTAAAATTCTTTCTTACTAATTTGCCTGGTGGTCTCAGCCATTCTCACAGAATCATTTGCAGGTGATTCGGGAATAAGTGCCTAAGAGTGTCCGCCTTATCCATGTACAGTTGTACACGTGAGGCTCGTCCAGCTCTTGGGCTTCAGGGGGGTCACAGCATGTATGAACGAACCTTTGATCATCTCCTGTTTGTTTGAACATTGTTTACATAACAATTGATTGGTTTATAGTGTCGAATACGATATTTCTTTTCCTTGTGTTACAAGATGAAGTGTAAATGTAACTGCAGCATGTACGTATTTCTTGGGATGTGTAATAGTCAATATTGTAAGTTTATAGAACCAATGTCCATGAATAGCCGTTTCATATTATTTTACAACTAAAACTGAATATATTACTTTAACAATGGATATACTTTTCGTTAAAATATATGCACACATTTCTGAAAGAATTGCCTTGGTCTTGGAATTGTTTTTTTTATGTCGTTTGATACACAGAACAGTGATGTCTGACGATTCGCCAGATGCGCGTTAGTCACCAACAATTTACGAATTATTCCTCTCGTTTTGCATTATATAATCAATGGGTTCATTCTTTTTTCAATATTGTGATCACAGGATATTAAACTGTTTACTTTATTTCTCCAGGAATTGTAAAAAGTATAAAAACAAAACCCATGCCAGGAACCCCGTTGGTCCAACCTTAAACGATTATACTGATAATTCTTTACCAATAGAGTTTTCTTCGCATCTTTTATTGTATAATTCTGAGACGAGATGAAGAGAAATAACAAACACAATATAGTCCACAATTAAATATAAATTTGGTTGTTTTGAAATATTCTTTTGGGTATTTCATTACGTAATTGATGCCAAACAGGTGCGTGTCTTGTCCAATTAAGACACACGACAAACTATCTAATTGTTTACATATTCAATACATTATTTACTTGCTGAAAGCAGTCATTTTATGTTGTGTCGAAAAAGCGTCAAATTCCGTTTTACACATCGAAATTTTCCATACCATGAACTAAAATTAGGTGAGATATAAATTAATCAAAATACGACGTTATCAAAGACATGAAAACAGTCATGACGTCAAAAGTAATGGTGTTATGTTTTTGGTATTTCATTTGATTATAAGGCTAGTGCTCCATTAATACTGGTACAACATTAGTCAAATTACACTTGCACAATCAGGAGAATGTTGGAATCTAAGGACTAAGTTATAGGTTAAATAGGGCCATCCATTTCTCTATTACCTCTTTTTAAAGTACGATTTCATCATTTCTTATGGGTTTTTTTAATAATTGAAAGTATACAGTTTCAATATCGATATTTGTATTGGGATATTTTGGTTCCTCGTGAACAAAACACCACGAAAATTAATTGCCCTTACCCACAGCTGATTCTCACCAAGTGACCTGAGTTACAGTGAACTAGTGCTAAGCATAGCGGAGTTATGCCCCCATTTCTTTGTACGCGTGTAACCTCTCCGTAGCCTTTTGACGTCATAGAGAAAAATCAGTTTTCGTCATTTACGGCATGCTATTTTTGGCATTGAATGTATGTCGTTATACATACGCATATAACTCCATTTGATATGTAGTTATGTCGTTCAGATATGAGGCAGTATTTTGTTCGCTCAGTTTCCGTAAAGCTTCTAAATAATTGTTTTTTTTCGCACAGTACTTTTATCGGTGTACGAAAAAAAGCGGAGTAATTTACTGCTTTTCAACGCAGAATAAATTCTCTGACAACACTTAGAAGTGTTTTTTTTAAAACCGTTTTAATATTTGCAGTTAAATTTAAACCATCAAATAGGAAATTTAATATTCTCCACCTCTGCGTAATTTTATAGCCAGAGGTAGATTCAGTGCCGCGTGAGCGCAATTCTCGCACAACCTTCACTTTTCCGACCTTAGGAAAATGTGCGTCAGAAAAAACCCTCGGCATCCAGAGGGAGAGACCCGTGATATGGCTGGAATAGTGCTAAAATCGGCGTAAACCTCTCACTCACTCTTGGGCTTCATGTGCATACACAGTATGGAATCGCAGAAGGGCGGATCTGAATTACGCCCTCCATTGTGGACGGATTACACCAGAAAAGCAGCCAAACGTGCGCACGTTAAGAGATACTTTCTTAGTTTAAGTGTAAAATTGGCTGAATATATCAGCTGAAATATGCACACGAGATTCATATACGCGTAATGTACCACCACGCCAAAATAAGTACACATATGACTGGCGTTACCCATAATTCACTGTGTTGTTTGATGCGTTCAAGTTTGGACAAGTATTCTTCAATTAGATAGTCTCTACGATGTTTACAACATTGATTTAACTACATGTAATTCTTGTATTTTGATTATCCTTAACGTTGAAAGGAGGGACAGCGAAAGCACCCGATACACAGCCAGTTACGGCCTCCCAGCCAGAAGTATGACAGTGACGGTCTGGTTGGCCTCTGGGTGACTTTATCTTCCAGTGACGGCCTTCCTCGGCCGTCACTGAACATCTCAGTGTGTAGGTATTCTGGCATCTAGTATCATAGCCACAGTTGAGCCCTCGGAAGGCTGTCAGTGGTTATACAGATACAAGATTACGTCACCCAGAGGCCAACCAGGCCACCTATACAGCGGTGTGTCATACTGTTGTTGGCCGAGACGTTGCAAGTGGTCGCGTGTAGGGTGTCGACAGTCAGCAACCCTGGCATCGTGTTGAACGGATTACCCGTAAGGGCATTGAACAAACTAGTTTTTCAAAATATCTGTGTGAACGTATTACACTTTTGAGTAATTGCTTTAAAGATTTTGTTCCTTAAAATTAATGATATAAATACAATCGATTCATCCATATGCGTTGGAATTTTGTATCGAGATAAGATTTGTTCAGCTACAGATACAAAACCAGATATTTTTTATTTAAAACTATGAACCTGATTTAAGAAAATGCAAAACACCTTGAAACAATGTAATTTTTGCGGCAGGCGATTTCCATTCGGAGATTGGTATTACGAGCAACTGTCCAAACCGTCGAGGTATGATGACACAAGATCAACTGTGTTATCAATCATACCACTCGATACATTTTGTCGATCTAATGTCAGATCTGTATTGTGTAAATAAGGACATCTGCTGTCACATCCAGATCCAGATCAGCTTGACATATTTGCTTCTTTATTTCCCACTGATACCTTGGTTGGTCCTATGTGGTTTGCAGAACAAGCTATCAACGTTTGTTCACAATGCAATGATTGATCTGAGAATAGAGTTACCTCCCCTGGTCTTGGTTGTTGATGGTTGTTGAGACGGAGGAAATCCAATTGTGTTTAAGTTGTGAAGGTATGTACTTGCAAGTTCTCGACAGAAAGTTGTATGGTAGCGTCATTATTATAACGAAGTGTTTTATTTGACTATTACTAGTACAAGGAAGATTTCGTTGTTATTTCCACTGACGGCTCACGGAAACAAATCTGTGGCTGTTGCCAGTGAGGGTAGAGAGGGGTGGTCTCGGGGACACCATATTTTTTTTACACCCCTTAGCTCCGTTTAAACCATTTTAGATGAACTGATGCACATGATTAACATTAAGGCTTTTATATTCAGTTTTCTGATCTGCGGCACTGAAATATCACAATGTAGGATGAAATAAAAAAGAAATATTTTCCCATCTATGTGTAATTTCAGTAATGAGAAAAACACCTTAAAAAGAACAACATTGTTTTATTTTTGTTAATTATCATTTAATGCAACACTCAGGAATATATTTCATCTATCTGACGACAGCCGGTGAATAATAGAGTCTTGTCCAGACAAACCAGGATTGATACTTGGAGCACAGTCCCATGCAGTCGTAGTACGATGACAACCAAGTCAACAAACAAATGCATTTTGTGTACAACAATGACTCCCCTCCCATGAAGTATGCCCATCTCCTCATGTGTTGTCACCATATCCCTACTGGAATTGCACAATATATTTAATAACAACATTTAACAAGCGATTATATTATCGTTATTTCAACAATTGTAAACACTGCTTGATAAGACCACACACGCTTATCTAAGGTTTTGTTAATCAAGTTGTTCGCGAAGTTACCTACTGCAAAGGTTGTTGATAAGCTTAGCGGAGCACTTTTACGTCCGTAGTACGACGGAACTGAACCCGAAACCGACTGACCGTTATGTTTACAAGCATGTGATGACTTTCGTGATGTCCAAAACACTTTTCCCATTATTTTGTCTGAATTATTTGCTTCAACTTCCATGTAATTAGTAAGGTGTGAATGCAATCTCTGCAATCTAGTACCAAACAAACAAACAAACAAACAAACCCCAAAATATATATGTCATGGTGACAGAGTGCACGATGACTCAGTAGGACAGCGCAGGGTTACAGAGAGTGCACAATTACATGGTGACGTGGGGTGCACGATAACACAATGACACAGAGTGCAGGATGACATGGTGACAGTGTGCCTGATAACACAGTGACACAGTGTACACTTTGATGCCGATTTCACGATGACACAGTGACACAGAGTGCTCAGTGACACAGTGTATACAATGACAGTGACACAGAGCCCAAGATGACATGGTGATAGAGTGCCTGATGACACAGTGACACAGAGTGCTCAATGACACAGTGTATACAATGACAGTGACACAG